CCTAAATAGCTTGGCGTGCATCAACTGGAACGAACACTTCAGTTCCTAGCCCTCCTGCATCTGCTTAAGCAGACCTAATTGCCTTCACAACACTCGCCAGTAAGACCGTAACCCATAGACGTTAATGGGACTCATAGCATTGAACTTTATGCATCGCGGAGTACCTCAGGCCACGGAAGAGGGATTGAAGGAAGCCATGGAGCTACGAAACAGGAAGGTAGGCAAACGGGGGTGCAACATCTGCGAGAGGCAGACCCTTGTTATTGTGTCTAATCTCATTTCCAGTATCTCTGGGAAGAATTCTTCACGCTTGCACAAACGACTGAGGCAGAGCAAGTTTGGGTCACCCGGCAAGTATTTTTCCCATTGTAGTACAGGTGATACACGAGGTACTAATATTTGTGGACTTGAGGCCCTTGTCCTGAGAAATAAAGCGGATTTATGCAACAGCATTTTATTTAACTTAAGAAACAACAACCGTACCCCTTTAGATTGCGATTTTCGAGAAGACAGTCTTGTAGTTCGTTCTTCAAAGAAACCTGCGGGAGAACGATAATAAAGTGCTTCAATAATATAGCTGTGGTTGAGTGAAAGTAGCACTCAAATGCACATTTTTAAATTGTCAGTGTGTTTTTAAAACCCAGTAAATTGTAGTAGACGCTTTCCTTTACGCATCTTGAATTATAAAGTAGTGTGTTAAGTACTAGTAAAATTGGCAATAAAAGAGATTCCTGGAGAGAATATTATGTTTACAATGTTTTTCTCAGTACTACGATTTATTGACCTACTCATGGACTAAGGACCGTGCATTTCTAAATGCCTTTAATAAAATTAAAGGTAATTTTGGGAAAATGCATGCTATCTTCATTCTTAATACTATCTGCGGTCAATAAAAAAGAGAAAATCAACGAAAAATCAACTTACACCTAGCATTTTGAGTTCCTGTATTGCATCATTTAGCTGCTTTTTTTCAGTTTGATGATCAGTTTTAGAAGACAACAGCTGATCTTCCAGTTCTTTTTCCTACAGTTATAAAAAATCAAAGTTCTTGTCATAAAAAGACAAAATTTCATATCTTTTACAGTAGGTTTCGCTTTATTAAAGCCCTAAATCTTCACAATCTGACATAGAATTCCTGTTATATAAAGCAAACACTTGGTATTCGGCGGCTTAAAAGACCCACTCTAGCAGATGACTCCATACTATATGTCGACGGAGTAATGTTGTGGACGTCTGTTAGTACGAAGCTGTTAATTATCGAATATATGGAAAATGTCAGAGAAGGAGAGGTAAGGACTCCCGTAATATGCTAATGGTAGTAATGCAGATTGAATGGCTGGGATAAAAAAGTGATAATTAGTTGTTTAGGGGAAACAAAATTATATTTAATCAAATTTAAATTAAATTAAAAGTTAAATTAAAGTAAATTAACCCAACAATGCGCGCCAAGCGAGCGTGCAATGTGAACTACAGAAATTAGGAGAGAAATAGAATTAAACCTCAGAGTATTGATAAGTTATTTTGAGCGAAGTGGTCCCAACCCGAGATGACCGATAAAACTGACAGCGAAGATATTATTGAATTTAAAACGTTAGTGGCCTTTTCTCTACACCTGTGGCTACAACCTAACCTTAAGCTTAAACTCCTTAATACAAACCGTAACCCTAACCTGTAATCAACGCCTAATCCCCTACGATAACGTTAAACTCTAATCGTAATCCTAAACCCTAATGTTAATCTATACCACTGACCCCAAACTTTATTGCTAATCATAAACCTAACTGTGCCTCTAACAATGATCCGAATGTTAGGGCGGCTTGATCGCGAATAAGCGAAGAGTCAAGAGGGTTAAAGTAAGCCTATATCAATGTTATAAGATATTTTCTCTGCAAAAAGACTAGGTTGGATCATATGATGCATCGTGAAAAAATAAATAGATCAAAAGTCTTAGCGGGAGAGTAGTGTTACTAATTATTTTTTAAATAAGAAAAAGTAGTAACCCTTTGCTGAAGATCCAGAACTTTCGCATTGGTTTCTGTTTTAATTATTTGTTTCGTCGATTTTTGCATGAGAACGTCATTGAGAGTGACAGTCAACGTTGCTTTTTTCTGCTCGAGAGACTGGACCTGATAGCTTTGCAAATAGACGAGCAAAAATATATTAAAACTGAAATCTAACTTGATTGACACAAACTATGGCAAAGGAATCTTATAAAAACGATCACCCTGTCCACAAGGAAAAATATTTCTGGAGCTTTCTAAATATTACGTTTATTTATAATTATTCCATTGTTTGGATTAAAAAAACCAAAAAAATATTTGCACTCAAAATACACTTACGGAAGGGCGCACAGCTGCTGTGATGATTGGGCTGAAAATTTTGCTCTTGCTATTAAGATGAGCCCCTTTATAAGAAACCAGAAATCCGAAAACGCCTATACAGCAGTCCTCATTAGGATATCGTAAGAAAAAACAGACCCCTAAGTAGCACGCCTAGTTTCAGCTAGTACTGAAAGATAATGATTATGGTTTAAGCAAAATGAGAAGGGATGGCAACGGAAAAGCCACAGTCCTCTCTGTCATCAATATAAATTTCGCTGCTTGCAAACGCTCGATATTTAAAATAGGTATATGATAATTGCATTCTACAATTTTTTAAAAACTTTTACTATAAAATAATAAAATGGTTTTTCACATACCTACTAGTAAAATAGAGTATTTTTAGATTTGACCGTCAATAAATTGTTTCGACTATTCAGTAGCCTTGCACTTAGCAGGGCTTCTCCAATTCAAATGCAGCGAAATAAAAAGAAATTAAAGATCCAATGCAAAATACAGATGGTATAAGCTATTTATCTGCAAAAGCATGGCTTAGAAAAACATTGCACTGCACAGTGCTACCAAATGTCCCATTTTAAGAAATATTTAATTTGCTTCAGAATAAGCTTATGGTTTAAAACGTTCTTTTTTAAATATATATTATAGGCAATGTTTGAAACCCAGTTTAATCCAGAATGACAATGTTAAGTTTTATGCTGGTCTTCTCTTTTCAAAAGATTAACAAATTCGAACCTTAGTATCTGGACATAAAAAGACCGCTTAAGTTACAATATTCTCACCTTAATGATTCATTATTTGTAAGTAATGTTCGCTTTGTAAGTAGAGCTTTGTCTGCTTTTAATTTTGTCTCCCGAATATTTTGGGAAATTTCATTAACTGACTGTTTTGTTGTTTCTTTGACAGCATTCACCAACTCTAATTGCCAAATAAATTTAAAATCGCGCATAATCGTTACCTTTAGTATCCGATATTATAGTTAGTTTGGTTTCTTTCAGCTTTTCTCGCAGCGAGCTAGTTCGGATTGATTCTGATTCCATAACATCGATCTTATGGTTTATATCTGCTCTCTATATGTATTTTATTTCAAATAGGAATTAAATTACAGATTTGAGGATCTCATTTTTAAAGTTTTGTAATCGCGTTACTTCCGAAGCACTTAATGGACGTTGGTCTGCTGTTATGTTAATAGCTCGTTCATTTTCTTACCATTTTCGTTGAACCTTTGAACATCAACTAAGATGGTGCGCAACATGTCACCTAATTCATTCATTTTCACGCTCACTTGCGTGGGTTTATGATAATTAAAACACGGTAAGGTCACTAGTCATTTTAAGTCACGTTATTGGGAAATAAGGTTTTCGCCGCTGGGGACCATATTCACATTTAGAATGCATTAGACATTTTTTTTTAAACAGTCACTCGGAGAAATGTAAAACAATCGATGTGTGTGAGCCAGGACCGATTTGTCACTAATGGCAAAATTTGCTCTTATGTAATTTCGCAGCAAATGACTATGCAGTTTGCATCTTCATTCCTCAACAGTTTCCAAAAATAAAACTGCAACAGTCCAACACACTTTTTGGGAGAAGGTTTTCCGTTGGACGTCCTTATGGACCAGTCTAAAGGAATGACCGGCAAATGGTTTGTCCTAGCCAATTCGAAACAGTCATCAAATACTAAGGCAGACTCACGGCCTCTGACGTTGCGGCAGGTGTGAATTTGGTAACTGTGCAGTTGGTTGTAATAAAGAGGAAAGAAATCGAGTAAGTTCAAATCAAGTTCTTCGTTGATGAACCCTCATCGATCGCTAGCGCAACTCATTGGTCCCATTCCTCCTTTGGGCTCCCTATCGAGCCCCACCAGCAGCCGCACAGCAGATAGTGATGGAGGCAGACTTAAATTGTTGGCAAAAACAAGAAAGACTAGAATGACCTTTTTGGTTCATTAGCCGTTGTCAGCCAGGCGGTGAACCACCCGAGGTTCGAATCAACAACTTCGTGATCAGAAATCCGATGCTCCACCCGTTGTGCCATGGGCTCGTTTATGTGCCCGTTTAGATCGGAGATATTGCTACTAACAGCTGTGCGGTTGCTGGTGGGGCTGGAGGGTGATTCCAAGCCAGAACGCGTCGAGTGAGTTCCGTTAGCAATCGCTGAATTTTCTTAAACGTATGTCCATATTTTTGATCTAAATCGGAAAGACAACTAGCCCGTGTCCTAATGGTTATATCGATAGATTTCTGATTAACAAGTTGCTGGATTGAGCCTGGAGTGTTGCACTACCTGCGGTTGCGCCTGGCTGATCTGAACCTTCCTGACCCAGTTTCTGTTCGCGTGGAAGATAACCGCATCTGCTTCGAGGGTCACTTGAACACCCCTTCCTTCGGTCGACGCAGCATAGGCCTCTGTATGCGACACTCCCCTTCTAGGCAATGTTCACGCCAATCGGACGACAAATGAACTGGCTCCAAAGTCACATAAAACCAGGCTTCTTCCCTTCATCCACTGACACACACGCCCTCCCAAGACTAGGTTCGCCATGCACCCATGTAGCATTGTTGGAAGTGCGTCCTTTGTCTAGAGTCAGACGGTAGTTGGTTGACTCTCTTGTTCTTGACTACGTATATCCATCGTTAAGTTTTGTAATTCGTTCAACCTTTACTATTTATTTAATAATCACGTACGACACTGATTTTTGTTATCATTGGGATTTGACGAACGCGGTTTTACTCGATAAAGTAACTTTGGATGGAAGAAACTCATAATACTTTATCTCTTGAGACTTGCCATCTCTTTTTTCCCTCTCTCCATAGTTTTAGTCATGTTCCACAATCAGTCACGTTTCACCATTACTACGCATTAGTTCGCTCATGCATTTTTTGGGAATGTTGACTGTGTCCTTATTCTTTAGCAACTTATCGCTTATAGAATAAGTTTTAAGCTTCTGCTTTTAGTATATTGTTAGCTGGGCTGTTGGTGGGCTTTTGTAGTAGCCCGAAACCCAGGTACGTGACAAATGGATATATTCAATGTGGTGGGCTTGTCCAGCTCTAATTTTGCCTTTTACCAGCGGTGAACGAAAATTATTTCAGAATTGACTGGCTGATGATCTGAAAGATGCCTGTCCGCAGAAATCGGCATCTGAGGACACCGCGCTGGAATTCTTAAAGAACTTGAGTAAGGCTCCTTCCGGTGGTGCTGTACGAGGTGTTTGCCACTTTCTTCACAGAAATGCACCGATATGGTTGTTGCCGATGGTCAGTTGCTTCAAATAAGCATGGACGGTCACGAGATAAATGGAAGTGGTGGTATCATACATCTGGGTACAGCATACTGCAAGGGTGAAAGAGATTTAGATAACTGCACCCTGATTTTCTTAAGAACACACCGAACGACTGTGTTTACAAACTAACGATATTAAATGCACCTTTATCAACTTTCCTTTTTTACAAGATCTCTCACCTTTAGATATTTTTAAACCCCCAGTTACATAATTAACTATTTCAGGGTTCACCTGTTGGTCAGGGAAAAGCTCAGCTATCCAAAAAACCCTAGTTGAAACCCTTTAGTTATGCACCCACTTCGCAAACTACTGGGTCCCTATTAACATCTTCCTTTTATCCTCCGTCAGTTTGTTTCAGTTTTACCAAGAGAAGCATAGGCAAACGCCCTTGAGCTCCCGGTCGGAGTGTAAGATGGAACAGAAAAATTCGAAAAAGAGGTTGTTTATCTAATTACAAGCCAAGAGCGAGCAGACGCCGGTTGGTCAAAGAGAGTAAAAATAGATATCCACTTACATCTTACGCGCAGTATAGCTAAAGGAGTAATAAGTACCTCCTGAATAGTTCTTTGGCTTATTAGCGATGCTAAATGACACGAGCACGTAGCGCAGACAGTGAAAAATCCCTCGGAAACTGTACAAGTTTAAGTGCGAGTTCAGGGAATTTAAGGAGAAAAAAACGGTCGCTCGTTGCTTAACTTAACCTCCCCTCTTTGCTTGTTTGTTGTCAACCATTGGGAACTACTTATGTTGCATTTGTCAAAGGTAATGGTGTCGCCAACACGATGGTTTCCCAAATTCAAATTCGGAGAGGTCAGAGTGGGTTGAAACAGTTTAAATTACTAGAACATGTGTCACACAAGGACTCTGTCGCGCGCTGGCTACCAGCTGTGTCCTCAAGCAGGTTGTGTCCGTGAGGTAGGGCGCTGTTCTTCTGCAGCAAATCAAATAAAGTGGACGTATCAATTGG